CTTTGAAAAGTACCATAATGAGGATAGCACGGAGGAGGAGCTGAATCATCCGGAGGATATTGAGCATGTGAGTTCCCCCCCTTCCTCCTGCTTTCTGGGTTTGAAGAGAGGGGCGAGAGAAGGGTAGAGGGTAGAGGGTATAGGGTGCTGACGGGGGGGTGTGGGCGTGCAGTTTAGGACACATGACGAGGAGGAGGATGCGGAGTTTGCGCAGGCGATCTTGGAGCAGAGTCCGATCATTGAGAAGAACATTCCAAACAAGTTCCGGCCGCGGGGCTAGGTGGGAGACGGGGGTTCGGGTTTGGGTTCGGGGGGCATTCATTGAGTGCCATTGTATGATATGATATCTATATGTACACGAGGAATGAATGGAACAGCGCGGGGAGGAAGAGAGAGAAGTAACGAGGGCACGCAAAGGCCAAACACATATAGGAGCATTTCCGGAGTCAGTCACTCGGGTTTGGAGAAGAGGGAGGGGGGGGCTATATAAGATACATGTATTCTTTGTATTTTTTTAATACCTACACACTAAGAATAATACCATTACCACCACACTACTGCTGCTCCTGCCGGCCCTCAATCTTGATATCAAAAACACAGTGCACCACGCCCGGCGCATAGGTCTTGACCACCTCCACATGCTCGCAGCTCACCCTCCCGCCGCCCTCCCCCTCCCCCTCGCCCAGCAGCGCCGCAAACGCCTCCACAACCCCCTCCGAATACTCCCTCTCCGCCCCCACCTTTACATTCCCATGCACATGGGCCACCCCACCCCCGCCGCCCAGCATCTCCACCGCCGCCGGCCACACAGCCCTGCAGTCGGGCAAATAGCCCATATTGACATGGCGCACGCCGCTCACGCCCAGCGCCCGCAGCCTCCCCACCGCACAGGCATTACTCTCCACAAAGACCACGATGCGCACAGCGCGGGCGTCGAGGCCGGCCAGGCCGCCGGGCACCTGCTCGCCGCAGCGCACAGCCTCGGCGCGCCAGCCGTTCTCGCGCGCGCCGCGGCACAGCGCCTCGGCGCTCCAGCGGCTCACCTCCCAGCACCAGACGCGCGCCGCGCCGGCCGCGGCGTACGAGAAGGTGAAGTACCCGATGCCGGCGTAGAGGTCGGCGACCTGGGCGCCGCGGATGGCGGGGAGGCGCAGGAGGCGTGCTTTTTCGCGCATGTTGCCGCGGCTGAACATGCAGTGCGCTGGGGGCCAGGTCTGGATGATGCCGTTTTGGGTGGTGCGGACCCAGAGGGTGGTGGGTGTGGTGAAGGCGCCGTGGAGGGGGGTGAGGGCGAGGGGGGTGCGGGTGGTGGAGGTGGGGGGGATGGGGGCGTTGATGGCGAGGTGGGTGCAGTTGAGGGCGGAGGCGAGGCGGGTGAAGAAGGTGGTGGGGAGGGTGGGGAGGAGGGTGGGCCAGGGGGGGCGGGTGAAGGTGCCGGTGGGGAGGAGGAGGAGCGGGGGGTAGAGGCTGTAGTGGGTGGGGGCGGTGGCGAGGAGGGCGGCGCGCGTGGCGGGGGGGAGGGGGAGCGTGTGGAGGAGGGTGGTGAGGGCGGTGGTGAGCGGGTTGGTTTTGCGCGGGGGGGCGGCGGCGGCGGGGGCGGCGGTTGTGGTTGTGGTTGTGGTGAGGGCCGCCGCCGCGGAGGGCAGGGAGAGCGTGGTGAGGAGGGTGGCGCTACCGGCACCGGCGGGAATGGTCGTTGTGATTGTGAACATCTCCTCGGCCTTTGCTCCCTCTTGTTCTTCTTCTGCCGGCTTCACTGCAGAGCCAGCATTATCACCAGTATCATCATCATCGCCATCATCACCATCATCATCGTCGTCGACCCGTGTGATCCGCCGCCCGAACAAGCCCTGCGCCTCGAGCGCTGTCTTGACCGTCTTTACGAGCGACCGCGGCACCCGCAGCGCGACTACTTCTTGGGCCGAGGAGGGGGAGGACGAGGACGAGGACGAGGACGAGGCTGCCATATGGAGCGGTTACGGGGGTTTGTGCAGCGCCTGGGTGGGGCGGGTGGCGGGGCCGGGGGCGCGGAGGATGTTAATGCGATGTGAGTGCGCGGGGTCGATGGGAGAGATGAGGGGCGAGGGGCGAGGGGCGATGAGAGTGTGAATGTCAATCGATGTGAAAGTGCTGGCTAACACTGTGCGGGGATTCGCAGGGCGACGAAGGAGCAGACAGAGGAGATGTGAGTGGAGTCCGCGGCCTTGGAGATGTTGTTTGTTTGCAGAGACTGACGAAATGGCGGCAGACTGGCAAACCTCCCGCTAACACGCGAATTCCTCGCCGAGTAGCTTCCCCTCCCCGCACCCCGCACCCCGCACCCCGCACCCCCGCTCTTCCAATACTAACACCCCCCCCCCACAGACTCCCGCACCCCCGCCTCCTCGCCACCACCGCCGCCCAGAACGACGCCCTCGCACACACAGCACACGCCCTCATCACCGCGCTCAACACCCACCTCACCACGCACCACGCCACGACCACCGCGCTGCACGCCCAGCTGCGCGCCCTCGCCGCCACCACGCTGCGCGGCGCCACAAGTCTCACAGCCGCACAGGCACACGCCGCGGCGCTGCACGCCCAGCTGCTCGAGCTGTCGGCGCTCGTGGCAGCCGCCGAGGCGCGCACCGGCGCCGCCCAGGAGGAGGAGGAGGAGGAGGAGTTTGCGCGGTGGGCGGCGGGGCGCAGGGCGGCGGTGGAGGAGCGGAGGAGGGCGTGGGGGGAGGAGCTGGTGCGCTTTGAGAGGGAGAGGGTGGCGATTGGGGCCGTGGGGGTGCCGGTTGTTGTTGCTGGTGGCCGCGGCGGTGGGAGGGGGGCGGGGGGGGAGGGGCGCGGGGGGCAGGGGCGTGGGTTGGAGAGTCTGCAGCTGGAGGGGGGGGGGGAGGGGCTGGAGGACTTTCTGGGTGGTGGGTTTTATGGGGATGGGTCTTCTTCTTCTTCTACTCCGCCGCCGCCGCATGCCGCTGCTGCTGCTGCTGCTTCTTCATCTCCCACCCCACCACCGCCGCTCTCGTCGGCCGTTGCGCCTGGGGCCACAACCCCCACAAAGAAGCCCAAAAATCCAAAGCCAAAACCAAAACCACAGCCCAAGACCCTCCCCGTCGCCAAACCACCACCGCCGCCAAAGCAGCGCATGGCAGTCATGGCCGACGAGGACATTGACGACGCGGACGACCTCAAGAAGTGGTACTAATCGGCCACCCGGTGGGTGGCTTGCGGGGAAGGGCGGGTGGGTAGCTTGCGGGGAAGGGCGGGTGGGTAGCTTGGAGGGGAGGTGGGGAGGGAGAGGGGAGGGGAGGGGGAGGGGGAGGGGGAGGGGAGGGGAGGGGGAGGGGGAGGGGGGGTAATGATAGATTCATCGGTCTCTTTTTTTCTTTCTATGTTTTTGATATTGTTTACTCCCCATTTTTCTCTGTTGTACTTTCTTGGAATGCGGTGCAATTGCTGTAATTGGGGCTCTGGTAGTGTAGTGGGTGTGCTGGCGAGATCGTGGGTGTTTCAATTGTAGGTGGGGTTGACGTTTGTGGGCTACATATATAGGTGGTCGAAAGATTTCAAACCAGGTGCCTTTCTCTCTATACCATCATAAGGACTGTGAGTTTCTGTTCAAATAGTAGAGTGCACAGCGTCTATATAACCATAACAGTAATCGAACAACCTATATAGCACACCACCTGTCCCCCGAGTGATCCCCCATGACCCTGCCCACCACCTTCTCCCCGCCCCCACCTCCGCCCGCAAAAAAAAAAAACAAGCAGCCAATCCCACTTCCTTGACCACTCCCGCTGGAGAAGAAAAGGTGAAAAAATGATGAATGTCCTCAGCGAGAGTCGAACTCGCGACCTTCGGATTTCCAGATCTAAAGACCCAGTCATAATTATGAGACCGACGCTTTAACCAACTAAGCCATGAAGACTGGTTTCAACGGGGTAAATTGGCAATTATAAACAATATTCACACACACACCTCGGGCCGGAAAGTGCAAGTGCAGAGCGCAGCAGAGCAGACATAAATAAAGATAAAGATAAAGTTACTTAAGCGAGAGGTCATCACTTTCTTTCTTTATTTTTCTTTTTTTTCTCTCTGGCACAGCTGGAGAAGAAGTGCAGAGATTTGCCTTAGAGCGGCGGACGCAGTAATATTGGGGCTCGCACCCGCAAATGGGGGGGGGGGGGGGTAAGCCAGATACATACAAGTAATACAAGTATGTACCTACTCGTAGCTTTTTTACCTTTCCGAACTGGACTGGATATGCATATAAGCGTAAATCGTGCTTGGCAACTATATGTTGGTGGTATGCAGACCCAGTTCAGTTCGGAAACGTTAGAAAACTACGAGTATAATGGAGATGGGTATTCGTACCTACATGTATGCTTCCCAATTAGAAGCCGCATAAAAGCGCAGCACCCAAAGCCAAGAATAGCGCTGCGCTTCTAGGAAAAACATCGTATGTATATAGACCCCCCCCCCCCCCCCACCAAATCCTTTGCTCTGCTAGATCGAGATGGTAATGCAGCACCCTTAGCTCGCGTTAAGCCACCTGAGTAAGATACTTGTATACTGGTAAAGTAAGATGCGAGTTGTGCAGTTCAACTCCCCAGCTCTTTTCTGATCTTTCGACCCTTTCATAAATATCATCATGTGGTTCACAGACGAAAATATCGTACGAGTGATGTTCTGTGAACCCCCCACCACACACACAATCGGCGGAATTGAGTTTAGTGCGTTTCTCGCTCAAGTAGTAGTAGGCTTCAACCTAGCGCCATGGGTATCCCACTGGCACTATCAGGTGAGCCGTAGACATTGTGTGGAATCACCGAGAGCCAGGCCATCATCTCTGGGGCTATTCAATTTACTTTCGAGAGAGTAGAGTGCTATTCATCAACTCCGTCAACTCCACAAATCTCCAGCACGCAAAACTCTTCACATCCCAAACCCCGCCAACAAAAACTTCAAACCACAAAGGCAATTCCCCCCTCCTTACAACTAGCAAAACGTAATGTCCTCAGCGAGAGTCGAACTCGCGACCTTCGGATATCCAGATCTAAGAGACCCAGTCATATTGTGAGATATGAGACCGACGCTTTAACCAACTAAGCCATGAAGACGGTGTGCGGTATCACCCGGCCGCCATATTAGGTAATATTCTTTTCTCAGGCTCCCAAGGAATTGGTCAGGATGGGCCCATGGTTTTTTCTAAGCGAGCAGAAGATGAAACGGCGGGCTGTGGTGGAATAACCATAACGGTGGTACATGTATGGTAGAGTAATTTCAAGGAAGTTACGCGTGGGTACTGTAATTTTTTATTATTATTTTGTGTTTGTGTTTGTTGGATCGGGATTGTGTAAATAGGTGCCGAGAAGACGCCTAGAGCCTGGAGGAATAGTAAATTTTCTACAGCGGAGGGCATGGGTGGAGGAGCTAGGGTGATTATTTGCGCATCCAAAAGTGGAACTTTTTTTTATAACTACAGCAAAGCCTATCATAATTCCACCCCCCCGTGGTGGCCGAATTTTACTTTAGAGAGAGGTATGTATTTACTAGCAACCTACAGGTATTGTTCCCTCCAACCGCTGGGAGTGTGGTAGGGATGGAATTTCGAGAGGGTGGAATTATGATAGGTTTTTGCTGTACAGGTATATAGTAGGTACTGTGTATTATCTGACGAAAAACCACATTTCTAATCCGGATCCTCGAACCCTATGTTCTCTGAAAGTAGAGAGAGAGAGCACCGAAATAGGAACCCCAATATACTGCCATGTTAATCCCAGAACCTACCCCCACCCCCCCCCGTCCCTGGATTCCCCTGCGTGCAAATTAAGGGCATGTACTCTATGCGCACCCCCGGACCTTGCACGACCTTGACCACGGACAGACGAGGCCCGTCCGGCGGGCGGGCGCTGAGGAAGCCGGTTGAAGTTTGGGGGACCTGCCATGCGATGAGGGTGGGGAGCAGAAACGGGCTAGCAAACGTTTAGGCAGCTCTGGCCATGAGCGTTCAATGTCGAGCTATGTAGCTAGGAGAACACCGAGTCCGAGTCCGAGTCCCTGGGCAGACCTGGCAGAGATAGAGTTACCCATGGGCCCAGCTGACTCTACCTACTACATACCTCCGCTGGCATCTCCAACCCAATCTCTCCGGCTGTGACATATCCCATCCCAGCAAAAATAATACGAGGCTGTTGTTTGCATTGGGAATGGATAGCCAGCCGGAGGTTCTCAATTGACAGGCAGGTCCGTGATCTCTCTCTCTCTCTCCTTCGTGGACAGGTAAACGTCACTTGGGAGCACTGGTAAAAGAAAGCCATGTCAGCTCGGGCAAAGAATTCCACAGAGACGTTCGTTTCCCTGGGACATGTGAACCCCCCAATGGCCGCGGCGCTGGCCTCAATTCCAGTTGGGCGTCTAGGCAGAGTGGTCATTAACAAATCGCCAAGTGGGCCAACAAGAACAGTCTTGCTGAGAAATTCGTACGCACCCCAGTACTCTCCAAGCCTGGCTGCACGGAAAGGCTTCTAGATCACTCTAAACACTGCCCATCACATGGCGATCAGATCAGATGAACGACGACGACGAACACTACCGAGCGGGACCCAGAAATAGCAGCTATTTCTGGGTCCCGCTATTTGTTTTTTTTTTAAAGTTCTTGGCCTCACCTTAGTTTACTATTTTCCCGGTTTTTTATACGAGGAGGCTTGTAGAACTGATAGAACAAAACTCAATTCTTCCTCGTAGATGTTTGTAACTTGGTATCGTGACCACGCAAGCAAGCCATGTCCGTATCTTGAGGACAAAAAACAAAGCCTCAACCCCACATCCACATTTTCCCAGGTCAAAGGGGGCCAGCCAAATGTAACCCGGCCGGGAAAGCTGCACCGAGAAACCAAGCCGTTGTCATCCGCTGGGAGGACAAAGGTCTCAAATCTGCTACCCGCTGCCTTTAAACGCCTCGGGACGTTCGTATGTTGCACCCACCCGGACGGATGTCCACAACAACAACCAGTGTACATACCAACTTGTAGCGCGCGCTGGATTTATGGTTCACTGCAGTGCGCAGCTAACCTTCCGTACGAGGATATGATGTACTCTCTAGTAGGTACATGTAGTTTATTTACACTCCGCCTCCTATTCCAGCAGCTGTACAGAGTCGGGAGAGCAGCCGCCCCATGATCGCTCTCCCTCAGCTCATCCCTTTACCACGTACTCCCTACATACCATACTCTATGGGTAATTGTTTGGTTTGCTGGCAAATTGCATAGCCAGTGCCCGACCGCACTGGCAGCCAGTCGTCACGACGGTGGAGATAAAAGTGGTGGTGGTGGGCTTACGGAAAAACCAAGCGCTCCCTCTTTTTTTTTGCGGGTCCCCAAGATTTTTGGAGGAGGGAAGGCCCGAGAGATCTGCATTCTGCCAAGACCGGGCTTGCACTCGAGTAAAAGTGCTAGCGCAGGGGTAAACAGCGCAGGGATTGGCTGGGCTGGGCTGGGCTGGGCAGCCTGGTGTGTGTGTGTGTGTGGGTTGTGTGAGTGGATGGATGGTCCAGGGTGGATTGCATGAATGAACCCTTGCTATGGAATCAAGATTCGAGATTCTTTATTTCCCGCGTTTTTCAAACGGCCAGCCAACCAGCAGGGCCTGTGCTCGGTGCATGTATGTACTCTACGAGGTATGGGAGGAGGTATGGACCGTATGGGAGCAGGTATGGGGAGGGGAGGGGAGGGGAGGGGAGGGGAGGGGGCAATAATACATGTATCTTTGCCAGGTCTAAGCTAACCAACCTGACCAGCTCCCGGAATAGGTGGAACAATCTACGGCGGCGGGTGGGTCTGTCCGTGTCGTCTGTCTCTGTAGCTAGAGTAGCTAGCTAGGGGCACGGTGTATTCTACATGTAGACAGATGGGCATTGAATTCTCCTTAAATACTGCTCATTCTACCCCCATCCTCTATTTCCCCCCTCTCCCCCTCCTTCCGTTTATCCAACTCACTCACGTTCTCTCACTTCAAACAGCCACCCATTGCTTTCGAGCCCACTATCGTTAATAACTTAATCTACAACTTACTTACTCTCTTTTGCTACTACTGCAATTTACATTCTAATTCCTCTAAAACAAACTACCACAAACATGAAGTACTCACTCAGCACCCTCCTTTTCGCCGCGGCCGCCGCTGTCGTCTCCGCCTCCCCCGTTGCAAACTTCGAAAACGGCTTCAACATGGGCGCTCAAAACCCCGACGGGTCCTGCAAGACCACCGCCGACTGGACTAGGGACTTCCAGGTCGTCCAGGGCTGGTCCACCGCCACCGTCAAGTACAACACCTTCAAGCTGTACTCCACCAACGACTGCGACACCCTGAAGAACGCTGTCCCTGCTGCCCAAGCGGTTGGCGCAAAGATCTGGGCCGGTGTGTGGGCCATCGATGAAGCAAAGTTCAACGCCGAGAAGGCTGCGTTGGAGTATGCCATGCAGACATGGGGAACCGACTGGTTGGCTGGTGTCAATGTTGGCTCCGAGTCGCTATACAGGATGGAGATTGACCCTGTTAAGCTTGCTATCCAGATCTGGGACGTCAAGGGGATGGTCAACGAGGCGTACAAGGCCGGTGTCTTGGTTGGGTGTGCGGACACCTGGACCTCATGGGTCAACGGCACCAACGCCATCGTCATTGAGGCTTCTGATGTAAGAAACTAACTCACTCCCTCATACCTGGAACAATAACACTAACATAACCGCAGATCATCATGATGAACGGCTTCCCCTACTGGCAGGGATCCACCATCGAGTCCGCCAAGGACATCTTCTACCAGTCCATTGCCGCCACCAAGGCTGTTATCAACGGTAAGCCGTTCATGATCGGCGAGACCGGCTGGCCCACCGGCGGTGACAACTTTGGATCTGCCGTCCCCACCACCGAAAACCTCCAGACATACTGGAAGACTGCCACTTGTGCTCTCCAGGCCGATAACATCCCGTACTTCTTCTTCAGCACCTTCGATGAGCCCAACCGCTCTGCCGGTGTTGAGCAGCACTTTGGTGTCGCCACAAGCGACAAGGCGTTGAAGATCTCTTTGGCTTGCTAAATATCTTTGACTCCTGTTGTGAAACGAGGTGTGGAATAATGGCCTGAAATGGGATTTGAGGTGTCTTATTTTTCTTTACTAAAGTGGTCTAATGGGGAATTATGCATTGCGTGGTTATTATACACATGTTGGTTTTCTTTTAATTTTTTTTTACTGTTATAGATGTAGCAGTTTGTATATCCTTGAGCAGTGGGGGGAGAGGGGAGGGGGGGCATGGGTGCTAGGCGGTGCGGGCAAGTTAGGTGGGCCCGCACATCTTGATAGGCAGAAGTATACTCTACATCTCTAGAAGAATTGAAAATACTTTTCGTGCCTATCTACAAACTCGTTCGTTCATCAGTCCATTATTCTTGTATCATGTGGTTTTCATATTATGGTTAAAGGGTTGAACGGCCCCTGGCTGTAAACAACACCAACCCCGGCTATGTTAGCGAGTCAACATGAAACGGTCCCTGCCAAGCAATCTCAGTACCTGCAGCCACCCCACCCCACCCTACCGCGATGCGATGTGATGTGATCCGTCATTGTGAAACCGCATCTGTTGCTCCTGAACGCCTTGAAGAAGAAATTAACACGGTAGGTATTTGGGACTCTTTCTTCCGGAGGCCGAAAACCGAACCTCATCCCTCTTTCAATTCCGACGCGGAACAAACAATGGCGCGTTGGTTGGGGTGGGGGTTGGGGGCTTGGGGTTGGGGTTGGGAGCAAGGTGGTAAGTGTCTTGGACTGGGAGAAACGCGCGTTCGGGAGACATTGTGGGCTGGGCACTGAGTACATACATAGATTCTGGTAGGATACATGTGGTTCTGGTAGGATGGTTCTGGCAGGATTGATGCGAAAATACATACATGTAGGTATAGGTTTTTTTTTTTCCGTGGCCCCGGTAGTCCCATTAGCTCTTGAAGGGGTTTTTTGCGGCCAAGAAGCTTAATGAATTCTACTATGTACATAGAATCTGTATATACATGTAGCTACATGTAGCTACATGTATGTACATACCTGGCCGGTGGGTGGGTGGGGCCCGCATAC